CGAGCACGGGAGGGGCGGCGAGACCAGACGTGAGACGGAGGCGTCGGGTCAGGAGACAGAGGAGGGGACACGGGTGGGGAACGAGGGGGAAAACGAGCCGGGGACGAGTCCGGCGGAGGGAACACGGGGCCGTAGACGGGAAGAGGGGGAGACGGCCGGAGAGGAACAGGCGCTGGGTCAGGGGACGGAAGGCCGAGCAGACGGAGGGCGGACACCGGCGGGGACTGCTGCTGCGGCGACACAACACCAACGCCAGGGCCACAAGCTGCGCGACGGCTACCTCCCGAACCCTCCACACCGGCACCCCCAGAAGGGACACCCCCAGAGCCCGAAACACCGCCAGCACCGGTACCACCCCCAGGCCCGCGGGGACAAGCCACGACAGGAGCCCCGGGACGAGTACCCACCTCAACTCCAGCACCCCCAGAGTCCACAAACAGCGGCAGCGACTGACGGCGGCGGCGGCGGCGGCGGCTGCAGCGACGGCCTCGACGGCGGCGGCGGCGGAGACGACGGCTGCAGCAGCTGCGGCGACGGCGGCTGCGGAGGCGGTGGAGGAGGAGACACCGGGGGAGGGACAGACGGCGAGGACTGCGCCAAAGGACTACCAGAGTCAGAAGACTCGTCGACCGGAACGACCGACGGGAGGGGGGTCACGTGAGACACACCAGAGGGGGCCGGACGGGGGGGCGGGGGGGGGGGAGGGGCAGGGGCCACCAGGGAGGGAGGAACCAGGAACAGGGGGGGAGTAACCGGGGGACCACGGTGGGGAAAGCGGCGGAAGAAGGAGACGGACTCGTCAAAGGTGACGTCGCGAGAGTGAAAGAAACGGTGAGACGGCGGGTGGTAGAAGTGCCAGTCGGACGCGTCAAGGGGGAAACCGAGGAAGACGCAGGGGAGGGTGCGGGCAGTGAGCTTGTCCGTGCCAGAGGCACGAACGTGAGCAAGGCAGCCCCAGACGTGGAACGCATACGCGTCACCAGGGGACCCGGTCCACAGAAGGGTCGGCGAAACCTGCGGCCGCTGGGGGTGCGGCCACAGGTTAAGCTGGTGAGCGGCGTAGCGCACGGCGAACGGCCACAGAAAATGGGGTGCACCGGCGTGGATCATGGAGGTGCGAGCCACCTCCATGACCAAACCGATGCGTCGCTCAGCGACCCCATTCTGCTGCGGGGAGTCCGGCAGGGTAAACGTCTGGGTGATGCCCTCCGCACGACAGAAGCGACCAAGGACACCTGAGGCGAACTCGCCACCCCGGTCGGAGTGGAGGCGCAAGGCAGGGAGACCGCGGTGGAGACGAGCAGAGACAAGCTAGGGGATGAGAACGTCGGGCACGTCGGCCTTCCGCTCCAGGGGAAAGACGGTGGTGTAACGTGTGAAGTCGTCGACAAGCACTAGGAAGAAGCGCTCGCGACGCGGCCCATGGACCGGGGCTGGGCCCCAGACGTCCATGTGCAGAGTCTGCAGGGGTGCGGTGGTAGGGGGAAAAGAGGAGGAGTGAGGGGCACGGCGGAGCCGGCCCTCGACACAAGGCGTGCACGGTGGGGCGGGGGATGAGGGAAACGCAGGGAACGAACCGGGGAGACCAAGGACGAGACCGTGCTGGGACATGTGACGCAGACGCGGGAGTGCAGGGTGACCAAGGCGGTGGTGCCAAAGGAGAGTCGGATGAGTGAGGGACCGACAGGAGCACGCAGCAGCAACCTGGGTGGACGCAGCTACCTGGGGGGAAGACCCAGCCAGGGACGTCGCGGTGTCAAGTGTGAACAGGCCGGACACCGGGTCCCGGGGGAAAGTGGTAAGGGGGGCACCAGTGGCGGCCTCGGTACAGACAGCATACCGCTCGTGACCAGGGAACGTAGTGGTGACGCCAAGGTCCTGGAGGCAGCCGACACCAACTAGGTTCCTGGAGAACGAGGGGATATGCAGACCGGTGAGCGAACCTGAAGGAACCGCCGGACAGGGAAGGGAGGTGGAACTGCGGGCAACGACGGGACCACCGGAGGGGTCAGCAAGAGTAACTGCAGCGGGAACAGGCAGCGGCGTCAGCGTCGTGGAGTCGCGGAAGAAACACCGGGAGGCGCCAGAGTCCAAGGTGAAGGAAAGCGCAGCAGTCGCGCGGGGCGACAGTGAAGCGGTGGAAGCACCGAGGCTAAGCAAAGCAGGAGATCCTACGCCTGACGCAGCAGGGGAGTCTACGCTAGGCACAGCTACACTAGGCAACACGGGGTAATAAGAGGGAAGCACACTAGAGTCATCGGCATACATCACATGCAAGGCTGCTACAATGGCATCCATGTCCAAGTCAAAAATCCGAATGCTACGCCTAAGCAAGCTGTGCCAGTCCGGGAGGTCGGGCGCCGGGCCAAAGCGCTGGCGGAACAGGTCGTCCAGACGACGAAAACAGCGAGGAGTGGAATGACCGATCTTACCGCAAGCGAAGCCGCGGCGAGGACCGGTCTGGATCTGGTACTGACAGGGCCCGCCTCCAGAACCACCACCCGGTGCACCACCACGCGCACGACCACCACCAGCTCCAGGCCACCCAGGCGGGAGAGCACTCGCCGGCCTCGTCTGCGGCGGCTGCTGCGGCTGCTGCGGAGGCTGCTGCTGCTGCGGCTGCTGCAACGGTGGAGGCAGCGGGGCAGCTGGACCGGGCAGGGTCCCCACGTCCGCACCGGCACCGGACGACCCGCCTCCACCACTACCCCCACCCGCACCCCCGCCACCCCCGCCGCTCCCAACCTTGGGGCGGCGGCCCTTCCCCGAGCGGGACTGCACTGCAGCAGCAGTCTCAGCCACAGCGACAGAGCCGTCGGAGAAGGTACACTGAGCGGGGGCACAACCCTGAAAGATAGGGACCGGTACTGTACCGCTCGCCTGGGCTATGGAGCGGTGACGAGTCTCTATGGCAGTCAGGGTGTCAACAAAGTCGGTGAGGGTGAGAGCAGCAGGGTGGATGCTAAGGAACTGGTCGCGGGCGGCGGCAAGGCGGTCAGGGAGGCGGGTGGCAAGGAGGTAGAGGGTAGAGGTCATGGGAGGCTGGTGGACTCTAAGCTGTGCATCAGTGCAGGCAGCGCGCCAGGCCTCATCTATCGAGCGCAGGTGGGCAGCGAGGTCAGAGACAGTGGGGAAGGACGCCAGGTCAGGAAAGAGCAGGGGGAGGATCAGGCGACCCACTGAGGCAGCAGGAGGGGTAGAATAGCGCTTGATGACAGCATCGAGGTAGGCCTGGGCGGTAGAAATGGTTCTAAAGCGAGGGCGCTCAAGGGGGGGGAGGGCATTGCTAATGGCGAGCTGAGCAAGGGCATCGCGGGAAAGCCAGACAGAGCGGGCAAGGGCAGCGGCGGCAGTGGACTCGCGCTCAGCGGGCGTGGGATCAGCGGGCAGCACAGCAGGGGGGTCAGGGCAGGGGAGCATACCGTCTAGGTGTGCAGAAAGCGGGTGGCCGTCCTGCCGCTGACCAGTGAGGTGGCGGCGAAGGTCAGCCAACCACGCCTCGAACTCCAGAGGCTGACCCTCAGCATCAAAACGAAGCTCAGCAGCCATGAGGGGCAGTGGAGGACAGTGGAGTGCGGTGTAGTGCTGTGCAGTGCGGTGCAGGGCGGCGCAGTGCGGTGCAGTGCGATGCAGTGCGGTGCAGTGCGGTCCAGTGCGGTGCAGTGCGGTCAGTGCGGTTCAGTGAGGTGCAATGCGGTGCAAGGCGGGGCAGGAAAGTGCAGGAGGGTGCAAAGTGGTGCGGGGAACGGGGGACAGTACCAGGAAGTATGGAGGGCCGGGGCAGGCACGTCGAGGCCGGGCAGGCGCGACGGGGCCGGGCAGGCGCGACGGGGCCGGGCAGGCGCGACGAGGGGCCGGGCGGCTGCGACGGGGCCGGGCGGCAGCGACGAGGCCGGGCGGCTGGGACGGGGCCGGGCGGCTGCGACGGGGCCGGGCGGCTGCGACGGGGCCGGGCGGCTGCGACGGGGCCGGGCGGCAGCGACAAGGCCGGGCGGCAGCTACGAGGCCGGGCGGCAGCGACAGGGCCGGGCGGCAGCTACGAGGCCGGGCGGCAGCGACAGGGCCGGGCGGCAGCGACGGGGCCGGGCAGGACACAGCAGGGCCGGGCGGGGGCGACGGGGCCGGGCGGGCGCGACGGGGCCGGGCAGCTGCGACAGGGGCCGGGCAGCTGCGACAGGGGCAGGGCGGGCGCCACGGGGCCGAGAGGCTGCGACAGGGCCGAGCTGGGGCGACGGGGCCGAGCAGAGGCGACGGGGCCGAGCAGGGGCGACGGGGCCCAGGAGGGTGGATACGGGGCCCAGGGAGGAGCGCGGCAGGGCCCAGGAGGGGCGCAACAGGCCCAGGAGGGGCGCTACGGGCCCAGGAGGGGCGCAATGGGGGCCCAGGAGGGGCGCGGCGGGGCTCAGGAGGGGCGCAATGGGGGCCCAGGAGGGGCACTACGGGCCTAGGAGGGGCGCGACGGGGCCTGGGAGGGGCGCGACAGGGCCCAGGGAGGGCGCGACGGGTCCCAGTAGGGGCGCTACGGAGCCCAGGAGGGGCGCGACGAGGCCTGGGAGGGGCGTTACGAAGCCCAGGAGGGGCGCTACGGAACCCAGGAGGGGCGCGACGAGGCCCAGGAGGGGCGCTAGGGGGCGCGACGGGGCCCTGGAGGGGCGCTACAGAGCCCTGGAGGGGCGCGACGGGGGCCTGGAGGGGCGTTACGAAGCCCTGGAAGGGGGGGCGCGACGGGGCCTGGAGGGGCGCTACGAGGCCCTGGAAGGGGCGCGACGGGGCTAGGGGGAGGGGTCGCGACTGGGCTCAGGAGGGGCGAGGCGAGGCTAGGAGACGCGACGGGAGGAGCGGAAGCGGTAGGTGGGGGGGGGGGGGGGGGGGGGGGGGGGGGGGGGGGGGGGGGGGGGGGGGGGGGGGGGGTCGAAACCTACTCGTGATACCATATCAAACCTAGAATTGAATAATGAGAGAAAGAGAGTACACAAACATATACCTAAATGTTGTACTCTCTAGAAGGTGACCCTATACAGTCTATACAAACATGATAACTACACATGTTTGACAATAGGGTCATGCCATAGAGAGTACAATCCACTAGCTATATGCCCCTGTTTTCTCCCATTCTACTCAATAATTCTAACTCTGAGAGTTGTTTCCTGAACACTAGGTTATCAGGGAGGTCAGATTGTACACACAAGGCCATCAGGGTTTTTAAAAAAAAAGTTCTCGACAGCTCGGGCGTTTTTTTGAAACGTCAGCCCTGGTACCGAGTTCATCTGAGCCTTAAGGTGGGTGCGTTCTGTCCGTTAGGCTTTCTCCCATGAGACGAAATCATGGCCCCTTGGAGAAACGACTGCCCTAGTGCCGAGGGCAGCCACTAGGCACCAGTTGGTCCTTGCCCAAAGGCAGGTGGTCCTCTGGCCAGTCGGCTGGTTCCCCCCCTTGCGTGTCACTTGAGGCTTCTCAAGAAAGCAACCGCCAGACCGCCTGTGCTAGTCATAACCCACCCGGTTGGTCCTGTGGCAGATGGTCCTCTGTCCCATTAGCCAGTCCACTCTCCATGTAGCACGAGAGCCACCTCATGAGAACCACCGCCACAGGGCCCGTGCTAGCCATGAGGCACCGGGCTGGTCCTTGCCCCATGGCGGGTGGTCCTCTGTCCAATTGGCAGGTGGCCGTGGCTTCCACCCTGGGATCTCATCGTTAAAGAAATCATACCAGATATGGCCTGGGGAAGAGAGGGGGGAGGGAGGGGGAACGCATGGGGAAAAGTGGGTGTCTGAGGGCCTGCCTCTAGAGGACGCCCTCCTCCGTCCAGTTGGCTGGTGGTCGTGGCTTCCACCCCGGGATGTCATCGTTGAAGGAATCGTACGAGATGTGACCTGGGGTGAGACAGGCAGGACAGGAGACAGCAAGGAGATATCATGTGGGCTGCGGCCTGAGGGCTGTGGCTTCCACCCCAGCATCTCATCATTGAACAAAACTACCAGATGTGACCTGAAGGGGGGGAGAGACGCATGGGGAAAAGTGGGGAAAAGTGGGGAAAAGGTCCTTCCCCGACAAAAAGAGAGCCGCCCTTGGTCCAGTTTGCTGGAGGTCGCCGTGGCTTCCAACCCGGCATCTCACCGTTGAAACAATCGCACCAGATGAAACCTGGGGGGAACAGATGGGAAAGGGGGGGTGTCAGGGTTAAGGTTTGCTGAGCCATCAGGTGGTTTTATCCCCGGAATCTTAACGTACAAGACAAGTAGCAGATGTGACATGACAGAAACAGACAGGGCAGAGCGGAATAAGGCACTTGCTCTTGAAACTTACCTGGCTGTGCGTTCACGCAGCACCAGGTGCCCACATACTGCCTTAGCCTCCACCTGAACTTCTTCTCCATTCCCTTTACACGCAGCAAGGAAACACCAGGATAGAGGATGGAAAGACAAGGGGGGTCGGAAAAGGGAGAACTTGTGGGACGAGTCGAGTCAAGATGGCCACATACTGCCCTAGTCTCCACCTGAACTTCTTCTCCATTCCCTGTACACGCCGCAGCAAGGGCATGGATGGAGGGACAAGGGGAGCAGATAGAGGGTCAGAGGTGAGGCGAGAGGAACACCGCAGAGGTGATGAAAGACAGCGGGGGGGGTGACGCGAGATGGCAGCTGCTAAGACGGCTCGGATGATAGGCAAGATGCGCTTGGAGTCGACTCAAAACACACCAGGATTTGAAAGGCACAAGGGGAGGGGACGCGAGACGGTAGCTGGGGAGATGGCTCGGATGTTAGGCAAGACGCCGGAAAGCAACACCAAAAGGGTTATGAATACACACAGGGAGGAGATGCAAGCGGAGATAGCAGCAGAACAGTGGTTAACAGAGAGGGGATTAGGGGG